GTGGAGGAGTACCTTAGGCTTGGCTCTATACTTCTTTATTATTTAAACAACTTACTAAAGTGCCTGCAAGCAGGCGCAGGGACCCGGGGTTTGATCTCCGGGCCTGCCTGCCGGCCCTGTCCCTGGGGTGCACTGGGACAGCAAATGAGACAGCATGGTGACGCGCGCCTGTAAGCCCAGTTCTTAGCAGGCTGTAAACAGGCGGATCACTACGAATTGGATCTAGTAGTGACACCATGAACACCCTGTAGACCCTTCCCTAAAATTAAAAAAAAACAAAAACAAAAAACAATAAATTACATTAGCAATGTAGTCCTTTTTTCTTTTTTTCAGAACTGGGGATTGAACTCAGGCCCTTGTGCTTGCCAGGGAAGGGCTTATTCTACTGAGCCATCTCCCCGGCCCCTCTCCATTTTTTACGTGATTAAAAAAAAAGAAATGCCAAGGATCCTCCTCTCCCCAAAAGGAAAAGAAAATTTTTCTCTTCCTTGTCCATGGAATCTATTTTTTTTTTTTTTTTGTTCCTCGAATGCCTTCAGGGCACTTTTGGCCAGCGGGAGAGTTGTGAGGTTCGAACTCCAGCAACCTGAGGCTGACAGCTTTGTGGAAGCAGCCACTTAAAGGCCTGAGCTAGGGCCAGGCCCCCTCTATTATTTGTTTTCCACAATAGCTTTTGAGTTTTTTCTCTATTTCCATGTCTCCACCCCATTTCTATTAGTTTGTGACCACCAATTACAATGAAATCTCTGATAGTAGCCCCTCCAGTTTTTGTCCCAGCCCTGAATGCCACAGCCAGGTTACTTTTCCTAAGACCTGGTTTACTTTAATCACCACTATTATGGCTTAGATCTAAAATTTCCCCACAAGGTCTCATGTGTTTGGAAAGTGATGAGACCAGAGTGCTCTATGCTTATGACAGTAGTGGGTTCATCCATGCATGAATGTGCTGCTTAGGAGCTGGAGCCCTCTTGGAAGAGGCGGGTCACTGGGGGTGTGGCCTAGAAAGATCTTTTCTTATCCTTGGCTTCTCCCTTCTCTGTTTGAATCCTGACCACCATGACTAGGGCCACTTTCCTGTGCCAGCCCCTTCCTCCCGCCATGCAGTTCCTGTTTAGGCAGTAGCTGACCATGAACTGAACCCACTAAAGACTTTGAGCCAAAATAAGCCTCTCCTCCTTAAATCTGAGGTGTTGGATAGTGTGTCCCAGCTTCAGGAGAGCTCATACAACCTTTGTCCATACACCCATGGTTTTATATCCCCAGGGTTCAAAAGGGGCTAACAATGGTCCACAGGAAAGGAATTCTGTGGCGAATTGTCTGGTGAATCTGAGACATGATATATTCAACACAATTCAAAAATATTGCTTCAGAAAGCCATTGCAGTACATTGAGCTCCATAGGGACAGCGCCAGGGCAAGTGAGAGCCGGACGGGCACTGGGCGACTCTGTACCTCGCTGAGGAAAACAAGTACACATGGGCAAAGGAGAGCCTAAGAAGCCAAGAGGCAAGATGTCATCCTATGCATTCTTTGTGCAAACTTGCCGAGAGGAGCACAAGAAGAAGCACCCAGATGCTTCTGTTAACTTCTCAGAGTTTTCTAAGATGTGCTCAGAGAGGTGGAAGACCACGTCTGCTAAAGAGAAAGGAAAATTTGAAGACATGGCAAAAGTGGACATGGCTTGTTATGAAAGAGAAATGAAAACTTGTATTCTTCCTAAAGGAGAAACAACAAAGAAGTTCAAGGATCCTAATGAGCCCAAGAGGCCTCCTTTGGCCTTCTTGTTCTGTTCTGAGTATCACCCCAAAATCAAAGGAGAACATCCTGGCCTCTCCATTGGTGATGTCACAAAGAAACTTGGACAAATGTGGACTAATACTGCAGCAGATGACAAGCAGCCTTATGAGAAGAAGGCTGCTAAACTCAAGGAGAAGTATGAAAAGGACATCACTGCCTACCAGGCTAAAGGAAAGCCTGACACAGCAGAGAAGGGAGTCGTCAAGGCTGAAAAAAGCAAGAAAAGGAAGAGAAGGAAGAAGATGAAGAGGATGAGGAGAATGAAAAAGAGGATGATGATGAATAAGTTGGTTCTAGCGCAATTTTTCTTTTGTCTATAAAGCATTTAACCCCCCTGTACACAACTCACTCCTTTTGAAAAAAAAAAAATTGAAATGTAAAGCTGTGTAAGATTTTTTTTAAGGAAGAAAAGGTTTATTTAGCTCATAGGTAGTGGGGAGGAGCAGTGGCTGCTGCCAAGATTTGTTTTCAAACTGTACAGTGTCTTTTTTTTTTTTTTTTTTTTTGGTATAGTTAACACACTACTGAATGTGTCTTTAGATAGCCCTGTCCTGGTGGTATTTTCAATAGCTACTAACCTAACTACATCCTGCCTGGTACAGGATGGGGGCTGTAAATTGGCATGGGAATTTAAAGCAGGTTCTTGTTGGTGCACAGCACAAATTAGTTATGTATGGGGACGGTAGTTTTTCATCCTCAGTTGTCTCTGATGCAGCTTATATGAAGTAACTGTTGTTCTGTTAACTGAATACCACTCTAATTGCAAAAAAAAAAAAAAGTTGCAACTGTTTTGTTGACATTCTGAATGCTTCTAAGGAAATACAATTATTTTTATTAGAAAAAAAAATATTGCCTCAGTGCAGGCCTGGATTTCCTAGCACTTTGCATATCTCAAGTAAAGGGTTAATAGTCTGATCTCAGTTCAGGCAATTTACTAACTTAGTATGACCCCTGTCTCAAACAGTTAAAAACAGAAACAAAGAGACTGGAATTTTGCTTAGTGTGAAGACCTTGGGTTCAATCCCCAGTACCAGATATATATTCAGTATTCAGAGAGGACTAGCCATAGAATTTAGACAGTCAGTGTGGTCAGGGAAGACATGGATAGTTCTTACTTTTTTTGCTCACGCAGTCCTTCTTTTGAGGAACACAACTGTCCTCAGAACACATATAAAAACAATGACTTTAGGGGAAAAAGTTCTCTCAATTCTTTTGACATTAATGTCTTGCTCAATATGCCTGTACAATCTAATTTGCCAAAATGAGTTTCCTTCCTGACTTCTTCCTTCAGGGGGTCAGTGCGAGTTCCTCTTCCTCTAGAGAGTCTGTCCGGATTCCTCTGGGCTCTGAGCTGTGGCCCTTACACCAGAATGCTCCTGAGTCATTCAGTCTCCCTTTCCATGTGCTCATCATGTCTACCCAACCTGAGAAGCACTGGGAGTCTGAATAATAATCTATAGTAGAGGCCTGAGATATAGCTCAGCGGCGCGGCACAGCACCTGCCTGGCAAGCCCCAGGTCCTGAGTCTGATTCCCCACACCACTCCCCAAAAATCTATAGCAGCACACAAATAGTGGGCTGTTTAAGCAGTAGCACAAATCTCCCTGAAGCTGAATGCTCAGCACCTGCACAAGGCAGTTATTTAGGACCTCAGGTGAGCATCCTATCACTTTCAGAGAAAGGACTGAAAACACTGTATTAGTTTTCTATGGCTGTCCTAACAAATTACCATAAGTTTGGGGGTGTACATTCTGAAAACTTCCTATTTATAGTTCTGTAGGTTAGAAGATGGGTGTAGGTCTCAACTGATTAAAACCAAGGAATTGGAAGGACTGTGTTTCTTCTAGGGACCTCGGCGAGTAATGCCTTTCTGGGCTTTTGCCAGCTTCTAGAAGCTTCCAGAGTCCTAAACTCCACCTTCAGTGCCTGAAGGACTGGCTGAGGCTTTCTCACAGCACATCACTGTGACCTGTTCTACTTCCCTTCTCCACTTCTAAAGGGCACTATGACACGGCAGGATCCACTCAGATAATCAAGGACAACGTCCCCATTTAAGGTTATTTGGTTAGCAACCTTCATTCCATTTGTAAAGTTAATTACCCTTTGCAGTGCAACCTGCTCTTGAGTTTGCAGGAACTGCCTAAGCAGACATCCGTGGAGGCTAGGGAGTGGGATGGAGATGTGGGGCATTATTTTGCCTACTCCCGGTACTTTTGTCCAAAAAGGCTAAATGGAAAGTTTGCAGCTAGATGGCACAGGGTGTTGCAGGGAGTTGGAAAGACTTTTTGGATTTACAAAATTCCCTTCAAATACTGGGCAGCGCTGCGGCAAATTCCTTAGCAAATCACTTGAGTTTTAGCGTTGACATTTTCGCTAAAATGGAAATTGCGAACCTTTGCTCTACGTGGTAAATGAAATAATTATGTAGACGGGCTCAGCTCAGAGGCCAACAAACAGGAGTCAAGAAGCTCTTGATGAATCTTGATGAGCAGGGTGGGCGAAGCTCTCTACAAGGCATCTGGAGACGGTTTTGAGATTTCCGTGAAGGAGTGGGCGAGGAGCGCCTGCCCTTGACTGAAGCTAGGGGTAGAAAATTCTAGCAAAAGCAATTAAGTTTTATTGAGAGCTTCTGAGTTAAGGTTTGAGGCACTGAGTGGGGCTAATTGCTGGAGCCCTAGGTGGAAGCTGGTCCTAAACGGAACCGATGGAGAAAACTGATGAGATGTTCATAGGCAAAGATTAATAACTGAATTCAAAGACAGATATATTATTAATTGTTCCATTACTTAGCGAATGAATAAAGGACAGAGCGAACAAAAGGTGAGCGACACAGGTTCCACCGAGATTTGAACTCGGATCGCTGGATTCAGAGTCCAGAGTGCTAACCATTACACCATGGAACCGCCACGCGTGTAAGGCCGCCTTCGTCGCCCTAGTCCTTAGAAAACCCCGCCCCCCACGCCGAACCCAATCCCGAGCTCCGAGTCCCACCTCCCTGCGCGGCAGCGCGAGGAATGTGCGAGGGGAAGCCGAGCCTACGGCCAGCTGCGATCCCACAGCTCCAGTGGCCTCCACGACCCCCGCGGAGACCGCGAGACTGTGGACACACACGCCGGGGGGCCACCCCCAGCGCACCGCCCCCACGCAGGAGGGGCGGGACCAGCCCCGCCCACCCGGAAGTACTTCCCTCGGGCTGGGGCCCGCCGGAAGTGGCGCAGCGGCAGGGCGGGGCTCTCGGCCGGGTCCAGCTGCTGAGGCTCCGCGCTCGGGTTACCCCTGCAGCGACGCCCCCTGGTCCCCACCGCTCCCGCTGCTGCTCCCGCCCCTCCGCTCCTCGGCCGCGCCATGGGCACCCGCGACGACGAGTACGACTACCTCTTCAAAGGTGAGGAGGCTTGCTTACTGTCCCCCGAAACCTCGTCCCGGGGCCCGGGAGATTCCCGGGGGACCCGCGTGCCGGTCACCGCCGACCTGAAAGGCGCCTCCCTCCGCTTTTCCTTTCCGTGCCTTGCGTCCCGCGTTCCCTCCGCCGGTTCTCGTCCCCCAACCCCCACCCGACGGGGGTTCCTCCCCGGCCTTAGGCCATCGCCGCCGCAGAGCCCCTCGCGGGGTGTCATTTTCCAAAATCGTGTCGTCCCTTCCTGGGGGTCCGCGGCCCTGCCGCCCCTCCCACCACCTCTTTTCGGGCTCAGCACCTCCTTCCTGTTCCCGGGGACCCTCCTGGCTCCCGTGCGCTCGCCCCTTCGAAGGGCCCTTCGCCCCCATCGGCCTTTCCTGGGTCGCCGACTCCCACCCAGGCCCCCCTTTCCCTCCGAGTGACCCCTTCCCCTCGGGGGAGGGACCTCGGACCCCGGAGCCGGCGGGCCCCCGCCCCCACCCGCCCTGCCGTTCTCGGGCTAGTAACCTTCCGTGTCCCCTCCCTCCCAGCCCGTCGGCGACTCTGCCGCTGTCTTCCATCCCGTGCTTTCGGGACGACCCGGGTGGCGTGCGGGAGGGCGAGAGAGGTTGTCCGAACCCACGCGCGCGCTTGACGCAGTGACCCGGCAGGCTGCTAGCACTTCCCACCTAGTCTTTTTATTGTTTTATTTTTATTTTCCCCTCCTGCTGTGCCTAGCCGGCCACGACCAGCCCGGGAAAACTCTTCACTCGGCTCTGAAAAGGGGTTGCGGATGGGTGGTGGCTGTTATCCTTGCCAGACCTGAAGGCCCAGTTCCTGTACAGGAAAGGTTGTGCGCTGCACAAATACTAGCTTGCTTATCACTACGGACTGGTTGCTTCCTGCTGCAACGCTGGGAGGATCCAACAGGAAGGGAAGAGCGCTAGTTGGCCACCAGCCTTTCCCAAATGGTTGGAAGCGGGGCGGGGGGATTCGTATGCGCTTGGGGTTGGATTAAATATTATTACGAGGTAACCGAGCATGAAGTGCCCTTAGGCAAAACATTGGAGGACGGGGAAGGGGAGATGGATGGAAATAATTGCTTATTGGTTGAGTCCGGAAAGAAGCCAAATAGTTTTTTTTTTTTTTTTAATCAACAAAGATAAAGGATTCTGTTTTCAGTGAGAAGACAGTATGTGATTTTTTAAATTCGGGGATGCAGCCTCACTTTGTTATTCTGTCTCTGCTCCTGAATTAGAAGGGCAGCCATCAGTAGTGTGCTGAACAAAGATCATTACCAGGGAGGAAGAAGCCATTACTATTAAAGCTTTACTGTGGAGGAGGGTGGAGTTTGAAAGAGTGGTAAGCATGGGTGACTGTTTCTGACTTTGCCATTGGGTGCTAAGAATGACTGACGAGAGGAATCCGGAACTACTTCGATGCTTCACCACTGCTTTGCAAATCTTGGTATAGTACTGGTTTGAGAGTATGTCCTTCCCGTCACTCATTCCCCTGAGCCAGCATATCCTGTTACATTGGATAAGTACCCTCCAAGCCATCCTCACCCTCATATTGGAAGTCGTGTGTAGATAAGAAGGTACTTAATGCATTTTGCAAATAGAAAAAGGAGGGCTGAATTATTTGGGTACTTTTTGTGAAAGTTTAAAATACTGTGTAATGGCCTTGGGTAGCAAGCTTTTTTTTTTTTTTTTTTTTTTGAAGTAATGTAGAACAAGGTAGGCTCTCGAGGTATTTCTCCTGTTTGGTTTGGAACTTGAGTGTTGATTACAAAACTTGTTTTTCTCCCCTTGAGAATGTTAGTTTTCCCGGATTGATTTAAGGAATTTTAATTATGTAATTAGACTCCTAACAATGAGAACACATTTGGAATTGCTTGTACTGGGTTCAGATCCTGACTCCGGTGTTGTATGTCTTTGTGACCTTGAGTTAGTTAAACTTTTCTGAGCCTCAGTTCCTTCATCTATGAAAAGGAAATTCTGCAATACCTGCCTTTCAGGGCCGTTGTGAGAACTAGTGAGACTGAAATTTTAGCTCGTG